TTAAATTTGAAATAGTTTTTTTTTAAAATAAAAATAATAAATTATTTTAGAATAATTATTCAAAATGATACTAAAATTACAAGCCTTTTTATCTATTCAACATAAGTAAAAAACTTTTAAAAAAAAATCATTGAGATGATTCCCTTTAAGAAATAAGCCACAGAGACTAATTCCTTTAAAGAAAATATCTTTAGAAGTGTTTTTCTTTGAAAAAAACGCTTCCAGAAGTGTTTTTCTTAGAAAAAACGCCTTGGAGGCTATTCCTTTGAAGGGAAATGCCTTTGGAAGTAATTTTCTTTTAAAAAAACGCTTCCAGAAGTGCTTTTCTTGGAAAAAAAAACGCTTCCAGAAGTGTTTTTCTTAGAAAAAACGCCTCAAAGGCTATTCTTTTAAAGGGAAACGCCTCTGGAAGTGCTTTTCTTGGGAAAAAATGCCTCAAAGGCTATTCCCTTGAAGGGAAACGCCTCTGAAAGTGCTTTTCTTGGGAAAAAACGCCTCAAAGGCTATTCCCTTGAAGGAAAACGCCTCTGGAAGTGCTTTTCTTGGGAAAAAACGCATCAAAGGCTATTCCCTTGAAGGAAAATGCCTTCGGAAGTGCAAATCGCCTTAGAGGCATTTTCCTTCAAAATTTCTGACAAAGAAACGCCTCTGGATGCGATTCCTTCAAAGGAAAAAGCCACAGAGACAAATCCCTTCAAGGAAAACGCTCCGGAAGTGAAGTCCTTTACAGAAACGCTTCGGAAGCAAATTCTTTTAAAGAAATCGCTCCAGGAGCGAAATCCTTCAAGGAAATCGCTTCGGAAGTGAATTCTTTTAAAGAAAACGCTCCAGAAGCGAAATTCTTCAAGGAAAATGCTCTGAAAGCAAATTCTTCTAAAGAAAACGCTTCGAAAGTGAATTCTTTTAAAGAAAACGCTCTAGAAGCGAATTCTTTTAAAGAAAACACTCTGGATGCGAATTTCTTTAAGAAAATCATTCTGGAAGCGAATTCGTTTAAAGAAAACACTCCAGATGCATTTTTCTTCAAAGAAAAACGTCACCAAGTTCATTTTTCTTCAAAGAAAACGCCACCAGGTTTATTTTCTTCAAAAAAAACGTCACCAGGGCCATTTTTCTTCAAAGAAAATGTCACTGGAGCCGTTTTTCTTCAAAGAAAATATCACTGGTGTCATTTTTTTTCAAAAAAAACGTCACTGGGGCTATTTTTCTTTAAGTAAACGCCATCGGAGTAGCTTTCTTCAAAGAAAAACTGCCTTTGGATTTATTTTCTTCAAAGAAGAAAATACAAGCCAACGAACCGAGCTGCAGCACGAGCTAAGCTACGGCACAAACTGGCTTGTCTGGCTCATGACTCATTTTATGATGATTCGAGCTAAGCCTAAACGAGCCAGCTCGTTTGGCTTGCAAGCGGCTCGGCTTATGCAGAGCTTTATTATTAACATAAATTTTTATAGTAATATAATAAACAATTAAAATAGTTTAACTTTATCAGATTAATTCTACTATTCATTAGAAACTTATATTATAGGAATTTTTAAATACTAAAAAATGCATACTTCATTAACATATAATTTAATTCATCAATTGATATATTATTAAGAGTTATTCTAAATAAAAAATTATATTAAAATAAATAAAAATTGTAATAAAATAAAATGAATAAAAATAATACATATGATTTATTATAAATATAATCTTTTACATATTTTCTGATGTGAATAATGATCATTATAATAAATCCTAATTTTAAATTTAAATAACTTTATTATTAAATAAAATCTAAAGCTATTATCATAGCTAATTATAAAAAGATTAATTTTAATAGATCATATATTCTTAAAAATAATATTTTCATTTTATTAACTAACCATTGACGAATTATTAGGGTTTGAGGAAATTAATGATGAATTAATTTACAAGAAAGATTTTGACATAGATACTATTAAATATGCTATTCTTTCTAAATTGAATCCTAAATATCTTGGACTATCACCTGAAGTTATAATTTTAGAGTTAGGTACCAATCTAAACTCAGATGAAGAAATATTGCGAATTGCTAAAATGTATAAAGAAGAATTTTCTATGAAAGATCATTCTTTTTTGGATATTGTTACGGATGAAGCTGTTTATCGTCAATTAATCAGATGTCAGAATAAATGGCCAAAAATAAGACCAATACTCGATACGTAACACATATCTAAGGATTTCTGTTCAGTATTAATTATTTTATTTTTAGCTATAGTTTATTAACTTAGCATCACGATTGAGTATCTGATTTCTTGATAAATTTGAAATGGCTGTCGATTATCATTTAACAGCACAAGTACTTAATTTAATATAGGTAGTAATAGGGGTAGCAATTAGTATTTATATTAAAAATAATAGAATAACAATCTTTGAAATAATAGATGGTGACAACAGTAAGAATATTTGTCTTAAGATATACATAAAAATAAAAAAAAATTTTTTATTTAAAACTAATTTACATTTAATCTATAAAATTTATTTATTAATTGATAAGATTTAGTATATATACTTTAAATGGGTCAAAATTTGAAAAACCCATTAGATGGCAATACGCATTAGAAATTTTGATCTATAATGAGATGCTTTATCTACAGCCAGTTTACTTTTTGCAAGTGCTGCAAAGTTTAATTACACAACAGCAATTGCTCATTTTCTCTTTACCATAGCCCTATAAAAAATTTGCATACGTTTTTTCATTATTATAAATAAGTTTTGTATACGTTTTTTAAAATTCTGTATCACA